TTTTGCGCCTAATGCAAGGCTACTCTCCGGAAGCGGGGTGGGAGGTGGTGAATGCTCATAGCGTACCACGGCAGCCGGCTGCGTGGTTATGTGGGACTCACTAAGAACTGCTACCCACTAAACACCACATGTTGGACTGGCTTTGGCCTGTATGGCCTTTCTGCCGAATCGAAAGCGACCCCTTTTCCCAGGTTTGCGCATGGTGCCTACGATGAACTTCATACTACATAAACTACAGGGAGTTTCTCGATATACCCTCAATTTCACCTCGCTGCCATCGATATGATACGATATGACGCTTCGCTAGAGTTAGCAAAATTACATTAAAATAACTGCGGTCACCAACCCGCTCGCAAAGCGTGGCAACTATGGCAAATACCCCCCCAATGATGAGAGCAACAAAGAGACGGCCCCCAGTCCCCGGCGGCCCCGCTATTCCTGGTTACGGTGGCGACCATGGTAACGGCGGGGCAGTGGGTGCTAAGAATCTCCGGTGGAGGTTCGGTTGCCACCTAAAACGACTCGACCTGTGGACTTATGAAAGGCTGTAATGATGATGATGATGATGAAGTATCACACACAGAATTCACTAACCTTCAGGTGATCTTGGTGCTCGGTAGTCAGCCTTAGATGTATAAAAAATATATTTTTATTTATATATAGTTGTAAGAAAAAAAAATAAAACAAAATAACAACCAAGTTCTAAAATGATTTTAATTTCATTTTCAGACATGGCCTGATCACGGGGCACCGCCTGAGCCGGATGGAGTCCTGACATTTATAGACGACATCAACAGGAGGATGTCTCAAAATTTACAAGACGGAAACGCGCCGGAACAGGTTAATAATTTTGCATAAATTAACAAAATATAAAAAAAGATTAACATACCCGAAAATATGAATGAAATGAAAACTGCAGATATTGCTCCATGAAAAGTAAAAAAGTAGCAGCTCTCGTACATGTTACTACCGGGCAAAAGCCGCAGAGAGTTTTTGGTCAAAAAAGTGTTCGCTGCCTTGATTCCAACGCGGGATGACCTCAACTGGCAAACTTATTAGACATGCAGGTTTTCATAGTATTAATTGAAACTATTAGTAGTAACATTATTCATCCAGGTACTTTAACTGTACGTTTAACTGCTAATATAATTGTAGGACATTTATTATTAACTTTATTAAAAAGAACAAAGTCTAATTTATCATTTTCTGTATTATTTATTTAAAGAATATATATTTTATGAAGCTATGTAATATAAAGACTTTTGAGTGCTCTAGAGATCTGTTTAGATTTTTTAATGAATATCTCTGCTCCGCTACTTTCACAGCCGTGTCAAAAGTGTGCCGAAGGTGCCTACCTGTTTAAAGGTAAAAGGGGATTAAATATACATATTAAACGATGCCATAATAAAAGTATTTCGGCTTCACAGCCTACCGTAGAAATTCATAACTCTATTAGCAATTCCTCTAATAACACAATTTTTTCTTTTTTCTGAGCAAATTTACAATTATCATCGTAATGTACCAGTGGTTAAAAGAATTCCTAGAGGTGCGAGGATGCAACTTGCTAAAGCATTGTCATGCACTATTCAAAATTGTTTCACTAATAGTGAAAATAGTTGGCAAAAATTATTTACTATCGCGTATTCCCATTTTCATTTTGATAAAACAATAAATAAATCAATTACGTCTCAACCAAAAGAGACATCTTTTCAAAATTTAAATTACCTAATTAATACTCATTTATCTCGACCATGACCTAAATTTGATTACAAAAAAGTAGTTGAGTCGAAAATAATGGATGGCGACTTAAAAAATGCATCCCGTATTTTATTCTCAGACGACGTCCTGGCTCCTCGTAATGTCGAATCTCTTGAAAGTCTTCGTCAGAAGAATCTTTCGGTCAAACCTTCTCAGGGATCACCGCTGCCTATAAAGACTTCTATGCAACCTTTACAAACTTCTGAAAAAGACACTTTAGTTAATTATGTCATTTTCGAATGGCTCTGCTGGTAGCATTGACGGAATAACGCCTCAACATCTTAAAGATCTTGTAAGCGCTTCTGTAGGTGACGCCGGTGGAGTACTTCTTAAAGACATTACAAAATTATGTAACTTTATGCTTTCTGGTAATGTTAATCCAAATTTCATTCCATTCGTATATGGGGCAAGATTATATGCCTACAAAAAAAAAAGGATAACGGTATCCGTCCTATTGCCGTTGGTTCCACATTTCGACGCTTAATTTCAAAATTTGGTTGCAGGCACATAATCTCTAACCTTAAGACAAAATTTCAGCCTACTCGACTAGGCTTTGGCACTAGAGATGGCTCTGATGCAGATGTTCTTGTGGAGGTTGATCTAAGCAATGCTTTTAACTCTATCGATAGGGTAACCTTGCTGAAAGAAGTGGCCAACAATACCCCCGAAATTTATCATTACGTTTGGCAATGTTATAGTCAAAATACTAACTTGTTTTACGAAAACCATGTTATATCGATTCTGCTGTCGGTGTTCAGCAGGGTGATCCACTAGGTCCAGCACTTTTCAGTTTTGGGATTCAACCCATTATTTCAAATTTGAAATCCAAGCTGAATGGCTGGTACCTTGACAACGGTGCACTGGGAGGTATAACAGATGACGTCCTCAGTGATCTTACTCATATTTTTCGAAATTTTAAATATATTGGTCTTAAAACCAAATAGCAATAAAAGTGAAATATTTTTTCCAATAATTTATCTACTTCTCATACAGACACTTTAATTCCAAATTTAAATCATGTTTCTCCAGGAATAAAAACTGTCCGTGCGGAATTACTATACCTGCTAGGTGTCCGGTTGTTTATTAATAGTATTAAACCTGTTATAAAAACAAAATTTGATCAGTTTTTAAACCACGTTGATAAATTGTATAAATTAAACCCCTATATATAGCCCACCCATAGCTCTTTCTTACCCTCTATTTTAATATATTGTCTTCTTGTACCTAGATTTACATGTTTACTCCGCTCGAGTCCAGTCTGGAAATATTAGGATATTTTAAAAGATATTCATAATAATTTTAAAATAGCTATAGAAAAATTCTAAATTAAACTTTAAATACAACAGCCTGGACTCAAGCTACTTTAGTTATAAAATTTGGGGGCATTGGTGTGAGAAATCTTTCCTTAGTGCCGTGCATAGTGTCAATGATTTATGTAACATAAAACATAAAACATACATAAACACTCACGCCTGTCACCCAGAGGGGTAGGCAGAGACTACGGACTTCCATTTGGCGCGATCCTGACACACCTCTCTCGCCTCTTTCACATCCATATATCTACGCATACACGCTCGTCGGTTAAGGGTACTCCTAATCTGGCCCATTTTCAATGTATCGCCGATCTGGTCGATAAACCTTCGTCTAGGGCGTCCCTTCCCGACCCTGCCGTTCACTTCTGCAACATAAATTTGCTTTGTCACTCTTTCCTCGTTCATTCTTTCTACGTGACCAAACCACCGAAGCATTCCTTTCTTAATCCTTGTCACAACGCCATCTTGCAAACCACACTTTTCTCTTATTACACTATTTCTCACCCTGTCATTCAGATTCAGCCCTAGCATACTCCTTAAGGAACGCATTTCTACAGCATTTATTCTACTCTCATGCTTCTTCTGCCAGACCCAACTTTCACTACCATACATTAAAGTGGGTACTAACACAGCATTATGAATTGCCATACGTGCCTTAGTTGACACATTCTGACTCCTCACAATAGCGTGTAGAGCCCCATTCACTCTATTTCCTGCGTTCACTCGTCGTTCTATATCCTTATCATATCTACCATCCCTGCTAAATAAACATCCCAAATATACAAACTCATCCACTTGCTCAATCAACTCCCCTTCTATTCTTATTTTACATAAAGTTTTACTTTCTTCTCTTTCAAAAACCATCACTTTCGTCTTACTTGCGTTCACTTTCATACCCCTTTCTTTCAATGAACAATTCATTAAAGTAACCATCATTTGCAACTCGGCCGCCGACGATGCAAATATGACTTGATCATCGGCGTACAAAAGGCATTTGACGGTTGACTCACCCATTCTCAACCCACATTCTTCAACTTTCAAAGTTTGCAAACAACTGTCCATAAATAGGTTAAACAGCCACGGGGAAGCCACACATCCCTGTCTGACACCTTTATGAATGCCAAACCAGTCCGAGTAGACCCCGTTGATCCTGACACAAGCACTAGAGTCCCTATAAAGAGACCTTAATGCCTGTATCAAGCCAGCGCTCAACCCAAATGAGTTCAGTGTTTGCCATAACACGTTCCTGTCCACTCTGTCATAAGCCTTTTCCAAGTCCAAGAACGCACAAAAAACTTTCTGGTTTTTAGCCAAAAACTTCTCCGCTATCATGCGCATGGAAAAGACTTGATCCGTACACCCCATCCCCTTTCTAAATCCAGCTTGCACATCCCAAATTTTTCCATCAGTTTCTTCCATAACTCTTTCAATTAACACCTTAGCATACAGTTTACCCACAATGCTAAGGAAGCTGATACCACGGTAGTTTTTACAGTCCTGCTGCGACCCCTTTCCCTTATATATTGGGACTATAACGGCTTTGCACCAGTCTTCCGGTACCCGTTTCAGTTCCCAACATAAATTAAACAAGGTATGCAGCAGGCCTGCAACCACACCCTCACCAGCCCTTAGCATTTCGAGTGATACTCTATCATATCCGGCTGCCTTACCTGCTTTCATGCTTTTCATTGCTTTCATTATTTCATCTACACTTATCTCCCTACCTCTCTCCACTTCTTCCGGAATTTCTATTTCACTTATTTCAGACGACTCTTCACTCTTAAACACCCTTTCAAAGTATTCCTTCCATCTCTTTAAATTCGAAACTTCATCATTCAGCATGCAGCCATTCTCGTCTCGTATAGCATTCATTCTAGGCTGTTTTGAATTTCCCCTGGCAGTTCTTACGAGCTTCCAGAACATTTTAATATTTTCCTGGAAGTTATCAGATATCCTTCTATCATTTTTATCTATCCTTTCTTGCTTTTTCCTTTCAACAACTTCTTTTACTCTCTTATTTATACGTCTAAAGTTTGCCTTTTTTCTTTCAATCTCATCATTCATACCGCCAGAATTACCAGCTTTAGTTGCTAGTAAATCTATGTAACATAATGTTATATGTAACATAATTATGTAACATAATTTTAAATAATAAAGTAGACCTGTGCTGTTGCTACGGAGGCAGGGCAGACATGGCAAACGCTCTGTCCCGGTGAAAATGTTCCACTGAAAGATAACCAACAAAAACAGTGGGATATTCCGTTGGTACATAGCGTGCTGAAAGATTTGTTTTTTAATTTCCATAGTAACCAAGATAAGGCACGCCTTCTAGCTGTTTCCACTAAGGAATTTAGTCACTGGTTACACGCTTTACCATCAAGTAATCTCGACACATTACTTGATGAGGAAAGTTTGCACTTTGCCGTAGGAATCCGACTAGGAGCAGCGATTTGTCAACCCCATCAGTACCCCTGTGGTAGCAGCGTCGACAAGTTTGGGCTCCACGGACTTTCATGTAAGAAAAGTGCTGGTAGGTTTTCACGGCATAGTTCTTTGAACAATGTCATATGAAGGGCTCTTGTATCTATAAATGTTCCCTCGGTTTTAGAGCCTTGTGTAATATTTAGATACGATGACAAGAGACCCGATGGTATGACATTGGGCCCTTGGGAGAGGGGTAAAGCCCTAGTGTGGGATGCTTGGCCTTTCATTTCAGGGGTACTTGTATCCAGGGCGGCATCAGAGGCAGATAAACTGAGTAAGTGGCGCAAATATGAGTCTCTGAGAGATGATTACATATTAGTGCCATTTGCTTTAGAGACTATCGATCCGTGGGGTCCACGTGCGGTGAAGTTCCTAAAGGAACTCCATCCGCGGCTGGTCGTTGCTGCTAGTGATAAGAGGGCTGGTTCTTTTCTCGCTCTAAGACTAAGTATAGCCATTCAGCGGGTTAACGCAGCCAGCGTTCTTGGCACGATACTGCGGGGAGTAGGACTATATGATTATAAGTTACTAGTTTATTTTTAAAATTATTATTATAGTTTTTAATATTGTATTGTGTTGTTAATACAAATTGTACTCTTAACTTTAGAATCTGCAGTTGCTATTATTCAATATTATGTAATTTCTATTCTTAGAAGTCTTCATTCTAGAGAAGTAAATTATTGATAATAAATTTTAATCATCTATATCATTTAGTAGATTATAGACCACGAACTTTAACAGGAGCTATCAGAGTAATAACTTTAGTTACTGGAATAATTAAATGATTCCATAATTATAACATAAACTTAATAATTTTAGGCTATATATATATAAGTTAAAAGCAGGTAGCCCAGGAGCGTGCTTTGTGGCATTCCTTGGGGAAGGCCCACGGTCCGCAGTGGACGATGATATAATTCTTCTGTACGCTTGTCACTAAACTCCTTCTAAGCGGCTAGACCAATTTTTGATGAAATTTTTGTGTGTGTTTATAATATAATCCGTTAGGTGGCGCTTATGTCGAGATCCAGAAATCACCTGCACGAAGTCAGGGAGGATCGCAAGTTTTTTATAACGTTGAAATAACAAACGAACGAACATAAAGTCTACCTGATAGTGAGTGGCTTCTACAACCCATGGACACCTGTGACCAACTAGAAATAAAGAAAGCGATAGGTAGATGTTTTGTCTCCTTTAAGGACTATGGAATGCCTCACCGTATGTAATTATAGTTGCTCTCTATATCTTTCAGAGACTGTGTTTTTGACGCATCAGTGCACCCACTGTTATTTGGTGGCAGAAATAATAAAGATTTTTGTACCTACCCTAGACAGATAGAGAGGTATATAGTATATCCGAAAAGTAAACCACTCAAACCACTCTGGGTAGGCGGTAATGATGGCGGAACTTTTCAAAAACTGCATAATTAGAAAATCTTACATAATTTTTCATGGACAACTTATTGCTGAAAAATGTAATAAAAAAATTATGGTCTCGAGGAACTAACAGTAGCATTTTAAATGCACCTCGGATATATAGACAATGGCAAGTAAGAGTTGAAAGGTTATTTTGGTAGTTAAAATTGTTCTCGTCTCATCATTATTATGGCGTATCATAAGTCCATTGCTGAACATAGGTCACCTTTAAAAATCTAAATCTTCGATTAAGGAGCAAAATGTAGATGCGATGTCACCCCTGAATACTAAGATGGAATGCTTCGTTTCAAGCAAAAAGAGTCTCCGGTTCTCTACTCTATACGAAACGCAGCAGCATGAAGCATTTTACGCCGGTATTCTGTAGGAACGTGGTTCTTCCCCAGTCGCGCCGACCCATTCGTGCTCCAATCATAATATCTGCAGCATGGCTCTACCACGTACAGGTAGAAACATTTAAAGAACCTCTTCAATAGTATGTGGATCACGCCGCTGTGTGCTGTGCTACAACACACCCAGCTGCGTCAAAATATTTCTTTAATAACTTATTCGTAAAGACAAATCTAGCTTTCATGGTACCCTAAAAGATCCATGACCAGCTTCTAACTTGTTGATAAAGATTTTTTTAATAGGATAAGGGTGACAAACGTGCACACAGTCCACCTGCTGGTAAGTGGTTGCTGCGGCCCATAGACATCTACATCTACCCTCTATTACAAATCTAAATGCAGATAGATTCGTTGTCACCCGTGAGGACTAAGATGGTATGCCTCATTTCCAGTAAAGAGCGTCTCCGGTTCTCTACACTTACCATACGAAACACAGCAGCGTTAAGCTGCTATTTTACGCTGGTATTCTGTGAGAGCGTGGTTCTTCCCCGGTCGGGCCGACCTATTCGAGCTACAACTATACTACTAATATAGCTGCAGCATGGCTCTACCACGTATGAAAACGAAAGATAAACGCCTATACGTATTTAATTCCAATGAATGTATTATTTGTTTTTATTTTTAGATAGTTTAATTATTTGTGTGTGTTAATTCACTTTTTTATATCCACAGAATGTACTATGTGTACATTGCTCAGCAGGGGTCGGCAGAACGGGCACATTTATTGTTCTGGATATGCTCATCGATAAAATTAAAATGTCTGGTGAGAATACATCTGCAGATGTTTTTTTTTACTTAGATCGTATGAGATATGTTGTGTCAACATCATCATTAGAGCCCTTTACAAGTCCACTGATGAACATAGACCTCCTTCAAGGAAAGCCACAAAGGACGGTGATGAGCGGCTTGTATCTACCGAATTTCTGCATATCTTATCAGGTCGTTATTCCATCCGGGGGCCACTCACTGTTTCGGATACCGTTCGTTATGAGAGAACCGTTCTTCCTTATAGGTTGTCGGTTCATCGAGTTTCCTGAACCGTTTAAGGGCTGAATTTCAATTATCAGATAAAAATTATGTACAGAATAAGTAAAAAATTAAAAAAAAATGTAAAATATAGTATAGTAAAAATATTTCAATTGTGTCACTTTTTCATTTTAGTACATACGACCTGAGCGATGAATATAATACAAATACTTATTTATATTTTTCATACAATAGATTTTTCTTATTTTACAATCTAACGTACTTTTAGCACAATGTAGTGTAATGTAATTGTACCTACTTAAAGTCGCCGTCGCCGAGTACCGGGACAAACTTGTGTCTGAAGTCGAGTCTTTGCTGAACAGTCTCGGATTGGGGGCGACTAAATCTAGTGCAGTTCAATCCCCAGAAGACACAAGTTTGCGCGTTTACCGCTAAAAAAACCCTTTTGTCGTATCTCTTCAGTTTCAAGGCACTCCTCTTGCTGCCTCAACTAGCATCGGAATACTCGGCGTCGACACATCGAATAGTGTGCAGTTTCGTGGTCATTTGGAAGAGAAGGCCAAATTGGCTTCTAAAAATCTTGGCGTGCTCAGCAATGCGAGACAGTATTTCATGCCGGCACATCGCTTGCAACTTTACAAAGCACAAGTTCGGCTTCACATTGAATACTGTTCGCATCTTGATGGCCAGGGCACCCCAGTGCCATCTTCTTCCACTTGACCGCATCCAGCGCAGAGCGGTTCGAATCGTCGACGACCGTTATTTCTGATCGGCTCGATTCACTGCAATGTTGCATCCCTTTGCATTTTCTATCGCTTCTACCATGGGAATTGCTCTAAGGAATTGTTCGGATTAATTCCAACCGCCAAATTTCTTAAAGACACATCGCGTCAAAATTAACGACACCATCCTCACCATCTCGATGCTTGGCGGTCCACCACTGTCCGTTTTACTAGGAGTTTTCTTCCTCGTACAACTTCTGTGTGGAATTGTTTACCACCGGCGATTTTTGCGGATCGATACGACTTAGGGACCTTCTAGAAAAGAGCTTACGCCTTTCTAAAAAGCCAGCAACGCATCTACAATTCCCCTGGTGTTGCGGTTGTACATGGGCGGTGGTAGTCACTTATCATAAGTTGAGCTGCTCGATTGCCGCCTCTTCTATAAAGAAAGTACCATCTAATGTATGAAATATTTTTGCATTGCGATTGTTGTGTTGAATGTTCTATGTAATGACTAGTTAAATAAACTTTTCAAATGTCAACAATTAAATTGATTGCGTGATAAATTGCGAATGTTGTAGCGTGTTAACTAGAGTTTATTTTATTTTGAGCTGTGTTATAACCTGTATGCTTTTCTTATTACATTGTAGCTTGCGACATGCTGTTTTATTATTTATCTGTTAACAATATAACATAATATATTGTTATCTGTTAATAATATAAAATATGTATTGTTGGCAAATTTTATATCGTTTCAATTTTACATTTCCGTAGGTTTTGACTGCGACATAGACGTTCACAACACAGTGAAAACGGTGCGGTCACAAAGAAGAGGCATGGTACAGAACAAGGCTCAATACAGATTTATTTATCTGGCGTTGCAAAGTTACATCGATAACAAGAGCATAAAGAAAAAGGTATAGTTAATAGACGATGCTAATATAATAGATAAGAAATATCAAAATATAACAATGGACTTAATTGCGATTCTCTTTGTCATTGTCACATAATAAGCAAATTTGATTACAGAATCCAGTTTAATAAAACTAAATCGAATATTACTGTGTATTGGCGGTGTAAGAATATCCACTATCGTATATCGTCCCGTGGGTGTCGTAAAACACTACAGAGGGAAACAAACCAGGAGATGAGCAGCAGCATCTTCCTAATCACAACTAAAAAATATAAAAAACTGCGTTTTCCAACCTGCCCGCAATGCGTGGCAAGTATAGCAAATATCCTCTATAAGGCGTTTATGGGGTCTATGTTCGGCAGTGGACTTGTTAGGCTTAAATGTTGTAATATTAGCTATTATTATTTTTAAACAAAAAACTATACTATTATTATTATTATATTAATTTTAATATTAATATTGCAATTGCGTTGCAATTACAACCGTTGAACGAAAATTTTGAATAATTGTTCAAAAGTCATTTCTTTTCGAGAACTGGAGTTAGGTAGGTACAGAAGACGAAAAGAGAAGACGAAAAGAATTTACTGTAGAGCCATGCTGCAGCTATATTAATAGTATAGTTGTAGCACAAGTGGGTCGGCTCGACAGGAGAAGGACCACGCTCTCAGTGAATACCAATGTAAAATAGAAGCTTAATGCTGCTGTGTTTCGTATGGTGAGTGTAGAGAACCGGAGACCCATTATACTAGAAAATAGGCATTCCATCTTAGTCCTTACGGCAGATAACGTATCTGCATTTTAATTCGCAAACGAAGTTACATGTAGATGTCTATGGGCCACAGCAACCACTTACCATTAGGTGGACTGTGTGCTCTTTTGTCACCCTTATACTATAAAAAAAATGTTTTGTTCCATTGCAGATTTACACTACGGAAGCTTAAGCAACGACAACAATACCGGACCAAAGTACATAACGTAAAAGACTTAATATACGGGAAGTGATTTTTTTATTTAAGAAATATTAATATTTTTTTTATTTAACACTCAAGCATATTTAATGCTACGACAATCGTTTAAGATTGTTCAATGAATATAATTCATACTACAGTAATTGTGATTTATATAATTAGTTTTATAAATATATGTCTCAAAATTTATATACATATGCATTTTATTACACAAATGTTTTGTGTCACAATAGCTTCATCATTACTATTATTATGCTTCTTTTATTTAGTTTTGGTTGTTTTAGTCAGTTACCCAAGATTTTTATTTAATTTTTGATATTATGAAACCTTAGTTTGTTTAGATTTCATTAAATTTCTAAAGATTTATATTTACACAGTTCTTATGTATTATTATCATTAATATTATTTCATTAATATTATTTTATTATTCATTATTATTATTTCTTATGTATTATTATTATTATTTCTTATGTATTATTTATTATTATTATATTTTTATCTACATAACTATACATAATACCATGTGTGGTGTGCTACATTTGAGGAGAATATGAGAAAAGGATAAGCTAGAAATATGAAATAAGACATGGGCAGCAGCATCATCCTGACAACAACTCAGTAATATTAGAAAAATGCGGTTTCCAAGCCGCCTGCTGGACATGACGACTATGGCACTTGCCCCCTACGGGACAATTTATGGAGGAGGCTTATGTTCAGCGGTGGGCTGTAATGTGTGAATGAAAATGCTTAATTTTTAAAGTTAAGAAATAGTCCGTTCTCAAATATGGAAATCAAGCAAAATCAGCAACTTTTATTATAACTCTAACCAAACTTATACTTTAAAGTTTTTGACCAGTTTTTTTTAATATATAAAAAGTTTTATGATTTTTAAGAAGTAATGAAAACGATTTTCAAAATAAACTAGGTACTTATTAAGTTTAGCAGCTTAATAAATAATATTGCCAGTAGTTTAATGATTAAGGGAGCGGACTGAGCACTCGAAAAATTGTTTGGGCTTGAATCCCACATTCGACCACTATCGTGGACCACTTCTCACACAAGCATTTTAAAGTTACTTGGTAACGGGCATATTAAAATAGTTAATAGCGCTATTAGAACCCCTTTTAATTGATAAATAATGCCTCGTTATAAGGTGAAACACGTGTGGCTTCAATAACAGAGGCGGCTTTTAAACTTATCTGTTTTTTTAGACCTATAACTAAAAAATCAAAATCCTGAAATTAAAACCTAACGAGTGTTAGTGAAGAACAAGCTATAACTGTTTATTTTTCCCATATTCATCCATATTAATATAAAAAATCCAGTATATACTTTTCGCAGTGATTATATAAGAATTGAAAAAGTCCAAAAAGTAAATATAATATACTTAGAGTACTTCTATGATAATATATATTTTAAATTTCCCGGAAAAGCTACAGAATATTATTGGACCACTTAAAACTAATAACAGTTGTGACATGCGCTGTAGTACATTTTCTATTGGTGTAGAAAGCTATAACTCAAAATCATTAAATCTCCTGACCAATTGCAAATAGATAAGATTGTTGCAATTAGGTCATCGACGTGGGAGTAATAGGTCAGAACGCCTGCGTAGTACGGTTTTGACATATGATTGATTTATTAGTATTATTATTATTTAAACTTCGTTGTAGATGGCGCTGAATACTCGAAGTATTCAGCGCCATCTACAACGAAGTTTTTAACCGTAGTTTTTTTTTTATTAACGTTATGAAAATAAATTTTCGCTAATAGATGGCGTTAAGTGTTCGTTTGCTTAACAAGTTACGAACTTCCAAAATTATTACTTAAACATGTTCTATCAAATTTGATGATGAAACAATGAAAATAATATTTTATTGAAATGAAAATTACAAGAGTGAAATAACAATGAGTTAATTAATGAACTGAAGTTTATTTTGAAAACTCTTTTCCCTATTCAAGCAGTGGAATTAGAACTAATCACGAAAGTATAATCAAAATAATAATGCATTTCTTTTAAAATAATAAATAATTAAATTTATTTATTCATTACAGCCTATTAAAAACTGGAAAAACCTTTTTGCCTACCCATCGGTCTTTACGAATGTGTGCGTGCACCGTCAAATCGGTTAAAATAATGCATTGCAATAATGCATTGAATTTAAAAGATAAAAAGAACAGAATATTTGAGATTTTTTTAAATTAATTATTCTTCACCATTTGCCTATATTACTTATTCTAAACCTTTTCTACAAATTTGACCGGTTATTGCAAAATAACCCTGTATACATATATATTGCGTTTGGCAGGCTTTGCTTGCAGGTTTCTATTTTGATATTTTATTTTTATCAGAAAGATGTTTCTACCTAGTTTGCCGACTGCCCATCTTATACAACACCTACGGGATGATACGGGATAGGCCGTGTATTGATGGCGTAGAAGTATTCTCAACACGTCCAGAGCACAAAGTTACACTCATGTCACCGATTGTCAGTGCGTTGAAGCCTATTGATGAACAAAGGCCTCCCAATAAATTGCCTCTTAAGCGGCATGGCATTATTAGCATTATTGCGACGCTTAAAGAATGTTTATAATTAAATCCTACAGGATACATTCCGGAGAGTGTATGCAGGAATTACATATTTCAATAATTGTCTTCCCTTTCTACCATCGAAAACCCAGACGCTTGACGTGTCTCCACCTTTGTTTTCGACATGTTTCGTATTTAGATTAAACCATTTGTTTCGTTTTTCGTAATGCGTACATTGCAGGTGTGGAATATTTTGCCAGTGCCTGTCTTGCCATCCGATTACAATGTGGCTGTCTTCAAGCAAGGGGAGGAAAGTAAGAATAGGCATGTTGCGGTAAGACAGCGCGATTTAACATTTAGGCCTTGTAACTAGTTACTAACAGATGAGGAATTGTAGTAAGGCACTGGTTTAAAATAAGTTAAAAAAAAAAGAAAATCAGAGAAAAATGTAGCGCATTTCCTCCTCACATCTTATATCGACTTTAAGTTAAGACCCTTTTTACAAATACTATGTATTTGTTTATCTCTCAAAAGCGAACCATAAGCCTACAGTCCACCTGATGGTAAGTAAATGCTGCCATTCATAGACACCTAACGTCCACAAAGAATCAAAAGGCACATGCGTTTTCACACCTGAAGACTATGATGGAATGCCTTGTTGTTACCAATAATGAAATCCTTGAAACAAGAAACGAGTTGATACAGTATTTACATATTTTTTTTGATGCCGTTTAGAAGTTTTTGTCATAAAAGATTTTCAAAAATTAGAGAGAAATAACATTTACAAACTAAGTAATTAAGACTATGGTGGCCTGAAAGCCTATTAACATGGAAAAGGGAAACCAAAATTCTAAGAAAAACGAGTTGATACAGTATTTACATATTTTTGTTTGATGCCATTTAGAAGTCTTTGTCATAAAAGATTTTCAAAAACCAGAGAGAAACAACATTTATGAACTAAGTAATTAGACTATGGTGGCCTGAAAGCCTACTAACATAGAAAAGGGACACCGATATTCTAGGAAATAGACTGACTAGACCACACCTCTCTGACTCCGATGACCTATGAGAAGCAGGTAAAGCGCCACGCCCCTTGTGCCGACTGCGCCGGTCACAATTATATGACATTTACAGCTTTTTGTAATTGTTAACAAGGACATACGAAGATGAAATAAATATATTAACCAAATTATGCAAGAACCATGGTATAAAGACAAGTCTATTGTAAATACTTCGTGACTGCTTAGTTAAAAGAATTTGTAATTTTTTTTTAATTCCATAATGTATATATTTTGTATAATAAAACTTTCAAATTTTTGTATACAAAACCACTTTGTTGCAATTGTTCGTCTTTTTTTTAATGGATAAGGGTGAAAAAGGAGCACACAGCCCACCCGATGGTAAGTGGCTTCTGTGGCCCATAGATATCTACGTACATCTATCTTCGATTACGAATCAAAATGTAGATGCGATGTCACCCGTGAAGATTAAGATGGAATGCCTAACTTCCAGTAAAAAGGGTTTCGGTTCTCTACACTCACCATACGAAACACATCAGAGTTAAGCTGCTATTTTACGCTGGTATTCTGTGAGAGCGTGGTCCTTCCCCGGTGGAGCCGACCCATTCGTTCTACAATCATAACAAAACTGCAGCATGGCTCTACCACGTCCTCTAGGCGCTTAGCACCCTTTCGCTGTCCCGTGCACTACATATAGGTCATTGCCATTGTCTTACTTTTGTGTTTGAAAACCGGACAGCGATAGTGGTTAAAATAATGTAATCTAATCAAAAACTTTAATTGCCAAATAATTGTGAAATAATTGCAATTTATTGGCTTTAGTTTATTAACTCTCTTTTATTAGTTTGAACTGTTTTTGAACAATCTGAAGTTTGTCAGACGTAAGTAAGAACATACGAGTATGAAAATACAATAATTTTATAACTATGACTGTGTTCGCTAAGATAGCGTCGGTACACCCAGAGGCGCATTTATTATTTTGATTTTATTTTATTATTTTTAAATGTTTTTCTTAAATAAATGTTTTTCTATTCTAATAAAATAAAAGTGGTGAAGCGGCGCGACACAAAGGTGACCGTATCTAAACGAACAGACTATATTTTTCTCTGCCGATTTGAATTCAGTTTTACGGCTGTACACCTAGAACTAGTTTTAAAAGAGAACAATTTTGCTATATTATACAATTTAGTTATAGTTATAAGGCTTACAACTATTTTGGCTTATGAATGTATTAGGAAACAGCTAAATTCTACAAGCACAGTTGTTGACGACGTATAAAGGTTTTTTTTCAAATAATATGACTGCTTTAATTTTTTTTATCGGAAAGGGGTTAACGAGCATGTGGCTAATCTGATGGTAAGTGTCGACTGTCGACCACGAATAACTGCAACACCAGGGGAATTACAGGTGCGTTGACGGCCTTTTTACCCGACTGGCCCAAAAGGAAGGTAATGTTTTTCGAGAGTACGTATATATGTTTGTATGTTTATTTTATTGCCACGCTCTGGAGCCTAAACGGCTAGATGGATTTTAACATGAGGTGTAAGCAGATTCGTCTTAATTGTGGGAGTGACATAAAATATAAAACTTTTCTCTTTTCAGTAAAATTTTATCGATTTCGGGTATTATTAATTATTATT